CGGTAGCCAAGGCCTAGGTATCACCGCCTAAGTTTGTCTTTTGTGAGCCCTCTAAGGAAAAACACGACAAGAAGTGGGCGAAAGCAGAAGCCTCCGAGTGTAATGGGTACAACATATTAAGAGCAACAAACGCGTGTAAATTATGTCCATCGGGCCAATCAGCTTCTGTCCTGGCGTGTGTAGCGAAACGATTGGCTTGTGACTCAGTGGCCTGCTGCAGCTTAAATTTTAAATTATCGATTGATTAACCGAAATTTTGCGTTCGCTCGCGTGTAGGCCGATCGATAACCTGCCTTGAGCGCGGCTCGCTCTTGCATGCTAGCTAACAGTGTTTAGCCCCCCCCTGATCATTGGACCTCTTGATTTAAGTGATCAGGAAGCGGGAGGTACTGATGCACTTTTCCACACCCGGGAATGGTGCTACATCTGGTCTGGCCGATATTTGAACTCTAGTAGTTTCGTACCCATCCAATAGAAGCTCCATCTAGTCCACTGCTTAGCGAAGAAATCGCTCGGTAGACAGTATTGAGGGGGAAATTAAGGCAGTCCAGGACCTGTATCCTGAGAAATTGATTACAAAGGATATGGTTGCGAGACAAATAACACCCAGTGCGCTTTCTGTGGAAAAGAAAACGCTATTCCTCCAAGTGCCCCTTCCAGAGGATGCAGCAAGCGAACTCCTAAGAAGACGCTCTGAAAAGCCTTTTCACGGACTTTACCCAGCCGCAATACTTCGGGCATTATTCTCACCTAACTCGATCTTAAACGAGGAAGGAAAAGACAGATCGCCAGCTCAGACTACTTCCATGTGCACCTGCTCATTGTTTTGCTCCTGTTGAGCAGGTTGCATTGGTCGCACGAATCGATGTCTATACAAGAACAATAAGGGAACACCTCTTGGCATGGCTGAGAAAAGGTGAAGCATAAAAAGCGCTACTCTCGCGCACATTACTGATTCCAGGCATTCTGTCGACCCCAACAAAGCCTTCCGAGTGATTTATGAGGTCTCACAAAACTACCCCAATTCCTTTGATCAGCATCTGTTAGCAATAGCAGAATCGAACACTATCGGGTTGAGGAAGCTGGTCTTGTGTGCAAAGAAGAACCTCTCGCAAGCTTAGCGCTTGGCATAGCTGATAATCGCTTGGCTGCATGCACTTGTCCTCGCTCTTCTCCCCCTGGGCAGACTCCAACTTACCGTCAAGGCCGCGCAACCAGCCTTCTCTTATCCCCCCCCCAAATACTCGTGGTTCCTTAGCGTAAAATGAAGAACATAATCGACCGCATGTTTACATTTGACCCCGTGCCCACATCAATCTAATGACCCAATAAGAATTTATTGAAAGCTTACGTATGCTCACAAACTGCTCGTCTGAGTATCCATGGTGTTCAATGCCTCCCTGCCAGCTTCCCCGGTTTCTCATTATTGCCCTGTGAACTCCTCAGTGTCTGAGGCCACTAGCGGGTTTGCAGGCATATAATAATTTTATCAACAGTGAGGAGATGGAGTGTGTTGAGCTTACCCGCTGAGCGGCTTTTCGCCCTCAATGGCCATCCGTTTCTGCGGTATATTTGAACGTATCGACCCGATTAATGGTACTATTACTTACCGTAACTACTTTAAAAACTAGTAGACTTGCTTTGGCTTGTTAACTAATGTACTAATTTTTTTGTACAGTTACTGCAAATCGGTCTGACACCGAGCATTCGACAGGATAAACGTCGCTTCGCTGTCTGGACGGCCAACCGCGCGCAGACGTACTACTTTCAGTCAGCCACTGCCGTCATTCGTACGCGCTGGGTAAACGCCATCAACGGCCTCTTGATGCGCCAATTAAAAATCCTACGTGAGGCCAGTCGATCCAGCCGCACCAACAGCTTCGTGGCCGACCACGAGCGTCACTCGCTCATGCGTTCAGAAACCACCGCTGACTTCTAATCCTCCTTCCCCCCCTTCCAAGGCTGCCAATTTGTCATATGGATTTACGCCGTGGGGATATCACAGTACTGGAAATGGTTACTGTAAAAAAAGATGGTAAGTGTTCACCATTGTTCATTCTCATGCTTAAACTTTTGCCCAAATCCATTTGGTTTTTTTATGCCAATCGCCTCTATTTACTACTCTGCGTCCAGCGCTCCCAAACATATCTCCTGTCATCTTGCCCCGGCCTTTCTACTGAATTGTGGTCTTAGTTGATAGGGCGATCCACGTGTTGTACAAGACTTCCTCCGAATCGCTCAAGTCAGCACATCACCACTGTGTTTCGTTCGAGTAACAGATATAGACTATATAATAGCATTGCTGACAAAGACAATTAAGACTATAATGACAATTTCCGGCTTGTTGGTCGTCATCAGTCGGCCATATCCAACCGAAGTGGTTGCAACCCGCGACACGTTGGCTAAACGTCGGTCACACCTAAGCATTTAGCCATGTGCACGGTTACGTTCGGATAAGCCACTGCGGCTAATTCTAATTTCTGTCTGCTTGACTCTTTGTTGCCAATTGCATACAGTGCAAGAGAGGGAAGGGACGCTATGAATCTCACCGCGCGGCCCAAATTGATTTCGAATTACCACCGTGCTTGGAAAGCCATGGTGATGGAGATAATTCGGTCCTTTGGGTTGTGTTGACAGTTCTCCATATTGGGACTTTAGACTGAGCGGAGTCTTGATTGTGCAAGGTGGGAGATCTGCACTTGCGTGGAACGCGAATATCTGGTCATTTATTTAATCCAAATTCAACTCCGTTCGCTGTGACCCATGACCACTATAGTAACATGATAGATGTGTGAAAAAAATGGCCGCGTTACCACGTTACTATAGTGACCATAGGTCAGACCGACCGGAGGTGAATTTTGGCTTAGCAGATGACCAGACATTCACGTTTGTCTACGCGTTCCACATAAGCGCTGATCTCCCACTCTCCAGATAGTAACGTGATAGCTGTTTGAAATGACAACAGGGGCAATTCTACGGATATCGCTGTAATCCCAAGGATGTACGGATCACCTCTACTTCTTACCTTTTTTTACTTCCTAGTACTTGTGACGAAATTCAGCATGATGCATTTAACCAAATACTCATCCCCCACATCCGAGCGAGTGCCCTTCAGCGCAGGCAATTAACACGCCAGCCCGCACCACGACGACTGTTCTCACTCGGCAAATAAGGACGGTGTCGTTTTAGGGGTCGGTTTTCTGACTGAATGTAAAGCCGCTAAGAAGTACGAAGACAAAATCGGCGAACTGAGCGCAAACACCATTAATCGGAAAGCATGTGAATTCCCTATGACAGGATTGTCGTGTCGGGTTGCACTATTGAAGCGGGCCTATAAGCCTTCATCCTCAAACCGTCTTCCTTACGGTGCCAAAGGATTTATCTGACCCACATTTGACTTCTGTTTTGTACTCA